CTGAGTGGACCCCGTGGGCTCTCTGCGTCTACGACTGCTGCGCCTGTCAACCTCGCGCGGGTTGCGTCGAGCAACAATGCCCGGCCACTGTCCATCATGTACGGATCCTTATTCCTCGCTGAGCATGCAGACTCCGGCTTCAAGCATCCCTACGGTTGACCTCGAAAGAGGTCAACTTTTCGTATCTTCGATGGGGAACGTCCTGATGGCGTACGAGACGACGCGAGGCGAGGGCTGCCGGTCGCAGACCGTGGACCGCACTTCTCCTTCTCCCACCATCGCGCTCTCGCACTCTGCGACTGAAACCTCTGTCCGTCTGGTCCTAGCGCCGCGGCTTCAACTTCGAATACTTTGCACGGCAACTCACTGTCTTTTCCGACTTACCAGCGGCTATCTCTCGCTCGTCGACTGCTTGTCGCTCGACGTTCGTTGCCCACCCGCTCGACGCTCACCCGCCGCCGCTCATCACTCGTATTCGTCGTTCGTCGGCTTTCTACAGCCACATCCGCCCAACAATACGCGCAGAAGATGGTCAATGAGCACGTACCCGCCGAGCTATTTGACAATGCCGATGAAACCGTCCGCTGTGCGTCGTGTCGCTTCTTCCGCGACTTTCCACCTACTGATCCTCGCCATAGCGCTGTATACGGGCACTGCGGGCGCTGTGAGTCGATTCGCCATTCTCCGTGGAGACGCTATACCTCGCGCGCCAACGCATCCACCCCCGCCGCTTCATATTGCCCAGGCTCCGGGCACGAACAACGCAGTCCCGCTCAACGTAGCCCCGCTCAACGGTGCGCCCGGCCCCATCGCGCCCGGTCCTGGCGGACACCTGCTGCAGGCGCAGAACGCTGGTGAAGCTGCGGGACCGAACGCCCTCGCTGAACCCGTTGAGAACGATGTCGGTGCCGCCGCCGCGCAGGAAGAGAGAGGGCCGTTTGGCGACTTCATTCACTGGCTGGTCATGATCTTGAACGCGATCGTCATGTTCGTTCTATGCCGTCGCTAGCAGTGATCCGTACGTATATCTTGCTTTGTCCGCTTTCCCGCTCTTGATATCTGTTTTCTTGATTGTATCCTAGTCTACATCACCGCTCCGTCGCTCGCACTCGCTCACACCATACAAATCCCATTCCACATCACAAGCCTCCATGCTCTCGCGTTTCGCACATCTTCAATCACGCTCACATCTTGACCATTCATCTCTCCACATGATTGTGTATAGCTTTCGTCTCTTGCGTACTCTCTGTATATACGGCTGTCGAAATCTCGAAAAACGCGCAAGCATGCGCGCCTCTCTCATAGCCGCGGCGTCCGCGGAAGTCGCGTGATCGCGATGGGTGCGGAGGTAACCAAGTGAGACAGCCTCTCACCTCTTCCTCTCTCCTTCCACGGCGGTCGTGCAGCATGGTTTCTGGTACGAATAACTGGTCTTTCTAACGCTGCATCTCCACTCTGCCATATCCTGCGTTTCAGCGAAGCAAAAGACACTACCGGTGGGCTCAACTCACGACTGATGGTGACCTTGGAGGAGACGTCGATTGTGCGGCACGACCCTGCGGTTGGTGAAGGGGATTAACATCTGGATGGTATTTCTAAGGGCGATGAGCAGGGAGAGGGGTGGACTCGTTCGCGCTTGCGAGTCCAATATGAACAGAGCCGTGATCTTTGTACGCGCCCATCCATTCCCTCTGGGGTTCCAGCAACTGACGACGCGCAACAGTCCGGCCTGCTATCCGCCACAGTTGCGATCTTCCTTGTAGATGGCTATAAAGGCCTGTACCCCGATCCTCGCACACACACTACGGACGTGCTAGTCCAAACAAACGCGCTCCTGGCGCAGGTTGCGCTGGCGTCAAATTCGACGCTGATCCCGGTGGTCAATCTCCAGCCCTTTCACCCCCCGGGCACAGCAATAACCGTCAATACACTCTGGTCTCTTAGCCTAGTCACGTCTGTTCTGTCTGCTCTCCTGGCAATGATGGTGCAGGATTGGTTGGGGAACTCTATGAGGAATGAAGCGCGTCCCGCCGCTGAAACTATCGAACGATACGCGATGAAGCGTCTCCATGCGTATACGGCCTTTGAACGCTACGGCGTCGATCAGCTCGCAACCTTGACCATCGGTCTTGTCCATCTAGCTGTCATCTTCTTCCTTGTTGGCCTATCAATTCACCTATCGCCTGTCCATTCCACACCTGCCATCGCCGTCGCCACACTCTCCGCCACGGCCGCACTGCTCTATATCGTTGCCAGCGCCCTTCCGCTCTTCGACCCCAAGTGTCCCTATCATACGCCGCTCAGCTGTCTTTTGTCTGCAATTGTCTACGGGTCCATCACACTCACGGCCTGCATCATCTTGTACGTCGTCAATGCCCGCGCGGCGGTGCAAAGTTGGATGGCGAACAAACGCGTCTCCATTCGGGACCTCGACCCACGGCAGATCCTCGCATACTTGAAGACACCCATTTCATCCGCACGAATTCTACGCCCTCTTTTGGGAGGTATTCTTCGTAGAAAATCCAGCGAGGAGCTCGATCAGATAGTCGATCGCGCCTTTGAGCTCCCTGCCGATGAGACGCTGGTCGCCGGGAGAGCGCTCGCATACCTATCAACGCGGACAAGAGCCCATTTGGTCAAATCTCCCGATGCTGCCCGATACTTCGCCCGCTGCGTACTCAGCATGGATCAAGACGGTGTGCCGGAGTTCTTCGTCAACCTCCGTAACAACAGATCGGCTATGGCAAAGCTCGCCGTCGCTTTCCAACACGTCGAAACAACCCTCGCCGCTGAGGGATCTATTCGGCTCTTGCAGATGTTGCTATCGGCCGATAACCCCGCGGACCTGCTTACACAGGCGCGCAGTAACCAGGACGCACGGTGGAGACACATGGCGCCCATCCTCGAGACGTTCCCTGCCTTTGCCCAGCAGGTCGGCCAACAGTGCGTTCAAGCTCTGCGCCAACGAGATAGCACCCTACATGCTGCGGTTGCCAGCCTGCGTTGGACGCTCATCTTCTCCCTGGGTAACATACAAGGATACCCGTATCGGCCAGAGCATCCGGGCTTCAAGGCCAGGAACAACATCCGATCTCTGCTCACGAGTTTGAACCTCGTCCATAGCCTTAGCATGTGCAAGGTGTCCTCGGACGACCACGAGAACCTGGACGATCTGTTCAAGGACGTAGCGATTGATCCCCGCCTTGAGTTGGGCTCCCGCAACGCGTTATCGCTCTTGATGGTCGTGAACGACTGTGGCTGGGGTCCGGGCGCTTGGCAGAAGCCCGACGAAGCTTATACTCCCAAAGGCGCCCCAGGCATGTGGGATTGGTGCCGCTTATTCGGTCTCAAGGGTCCTGTCAAGGAGCATGCTCCCTCGGATTGCCTGCGCGACCTCATGGAGAAGACGCGCTTCAAGACGCACATGCCATCGGTCACCGATTTTGCGGGACTCGGCCCTGCGGAGTTCGATAAGATCGTAGCAGACCGGTTGCTTGATCTCAGCACGATCGTCGATCTGAAGGCGTCGGCTGCCGCGGAGGCCGGCGAGGAATGTGAGGGCTGCCGACACCACCATCTTCTCGCAAAGCGGCCGTTGCAGATACATAGCTGCGCTTTGTCGAGCACCTCAAGTTTCAGCACAGACACGGAGTCGTCTGACTCCGGCAGGGATGATTCTAAACCGCTCATTGGTCCGGCCTCGCTCTCGGCGGCTCTGAGTGACAAGCGGAGGCCAGCCGGCCCTGCAGAGCGCAGGCGGTCATTTGGGCCACCCGCTATGTAGAATGCCGTAGGGCCCGAGACGATGAGTCTACACGCGACGAGTCCTTCTTTTGGGTCCATGGACTACGACGAGCTTATCAGGCGCTCATAACGTTCCCCGATGTGTGACGCTTCCTGGATCATACAATGTCTCTAGCTACGCTTGCTACTATCCTTCGGACCGACTGTTCTCGCCCCGACTTCACTGAGTCTTCTTCCGCGCGCACGTCCTTCTCAACAAGAAAATAAACCTATATCGCCTCCGGACTCTGATATTGTCTTATATGCCATGTCCCCCTTTTATAGACCATTCTGACACAGCTCCCCCTTCTCCTCCCTCCTCTCAACCTGTCAAACGAACCCCATCCCAGCGTGCATTGACTGACTCCCGCATCTATACTCCTACTTCTGATTGTACACACCGTCGCGCTGGGATGGGCAGTTTGGCTAACAATGTTAACGTATAGGACGACGCCCGTACGTTTTGTGCGTCGGTTGGAGCAGCAGACCCTCCATGTGATTAGCATACTGCAATTGGTACGTCGAAATGTGGAGGTACAGGACACACGCTACACATTATCAATCTATAATTGACCATCATGTTTGGGGCTTTCTAGCCTAACGGTCCTTTTCCCAACTCGTTAACGCGGGTTCGACTCTGCCCGTGACCGACCTGAAACATTTTGTTTCCCCCGTTGAGGGCACAAGCTAGTTATGCATCCCGAGTTATTTTCTCTACGATGAGTCAACCAGCAGGATTTCATTGGCGTCACGCTGGTCGAAGATCCGATCGCGACAATGTACGCTACTTTCCATGCATCCCGGTCCATCAGAGGCACAACTTTGCCGCAGAACGGAAGCTGCCTGCCACGATTCCGCCACACGTACGTTCTGTCACGATCAAGATAAACGTCAGAGGGTACCTTAGCCCAGCGATGGATGTACAATACGCACTGTGTACGACGTCGCGGCGCATGTTAATATCACGGGAGAATTGCTGCTCCATTACAGCTGCCTTCTGGGCAAATTTGCGTGCGTGAGGGGGAAGGTTCCCCATCCCCGCGGTGGCCCTCGCAGTCATAGCCCATGGACACGCAGGGTGTGAAGATGCAAGAAGTGAGCGATCAAGCCCTACGGTCTCATGATGAGACCATACGCTGCGAGCCTTCACAAGCGGAGCATGCGCAGGCGGATCTATAGAGGGTCTGCTCTCAGCGTGGTGCATCATAAGTAAAACATATCAGTCCAGACGGACCTATGAGGGATCTATCATTCGCTCGCTGCTTCTTGCGTGTCCGCAATGGACCGCAGGAGGAAGACCTAGACGAGAGTGACATGCACTGGGCATTGGTATACATGGTCCGCTTGGAGCTCACACGCGAGGGACCAAGCACTGACGCATAGAAGCTGTCATATGCGTTGCACGCGCGGTCCGGCACGGGAAGTCCATACAGGCTGAGTGTCGAAGCCCTTACGGAGAGTGAGATCGGTACTGCTGAACGGCGGCATCGCGTGTTGGTGGCCGTTGGAGATGTACCAATGACGAGAGGCGCTCGAACGTGTGAAGTATGGTCGGGCGCCACGGTCAAATTCTTTTGCGTCGCAGCGTCGAGTTCTTCGAATGTGAGATGGGAAATGTTATGTTCAATCTTGTACGCCGCATACTGAAGCTTAGCTCGTAGCTCACGAGCCATCTGAGTATCTGGTAATGAGCAAGCCGCACGGTGAAGGTGACGGAATAGCTCGCGGAACACCGTCTCACCTGCTGGTATGCGACGCGTTTGCGGAGACGGGCTTTGATGGCCTCACGATCCTGGCGTTCCTCAGGCGCCAGACGATCACGAGCCTCCTCTATTCGTCCGTTGTCATCCTGTCGACCGCAAGGAGTATCTGTAGCTATCATAGCGTATGCTAAACCGTGGCCAGTAAACCTCGGTATCGCGGTATAACGAATAGCGGACATACATAGTGTTCGCCTAGATATGGGCGCCGGAAGCAAAGCACCACCCAACAGAGCTCAATCTTATGGTTTGAATCACGGAGGCGGGTGCCAGGCTCTCGACCGAAAACGCGCGAGTCTGTGCGGTCCACTGCCGATAGTCCCCGAAAACTGCCGTCCATGACTAGAGCCATCTCCCCGGGAACATGACACTGGTGCTGCATATTCTCATTGAGCGAGGAAAAGAAGTTCGACGCGAACTGGATGCAGAGGAAGAGCAAGAGCGGTGGTTTGCTGTACGCAGACGAAAAGGTGGCGCGCACTCTGCGGCGTTTGAATGACGAACTAGCAAGACAAGCCTGGACAAAGTGTTCGAGAAGCTTGAATCGTATGATAGACGGAGGGGTTGCAGAAGAAGCAAAGTTGATATGAGAGAAGCAATAGAGCATTAGACGCCGACGCCGACGCCGACAGAGGTTTGAAGATGCCAAGTTGCAGCCCCGTCGGAAAGGTGCGCAGGGGCCCCAAAGCACGCCACAAAGCAGGATCGCGCAAGCGCATGGCAGAGGCATATAGAACATGAATGGAATCGCAATGCGATTGGTCCACAACTACGAAAAAAGGTGTCGAGCTTGTCGTGATCAACTAAAGCAATTTACGCGCATGCATGCGGGAATTACCCATCCGAATTCGCGCGGGAGGCGCCCGTTCACGCGCATCGCATCGCAAGCTCCATCTTTTCCCACAGGCATACCTTGACCATCGACTACAATGACTGCCATAATCATGGGACCGATTAAGCTGTACGCCTACGTGCGTGCAACGTATCTACGTTTGATCTACGTACCATAAGAAGCGTGGAGACCGGCTCGGAAGCCGTTGCGGAGCCTAGGACCCGCGCCGATTTCAAGTTACCTATTGACCGCTATCATTTGTGCATCTCGCGGATGCCAATTCAGGCCTAGGCGTAGCATGCCAGGGCTTTTAACGGCTTTGAAGGGTCTCTGCATACAGGGGCGCCGGTGAGTTTCGCATGGGGCGATGTTGGGTCGAGCGCATCTGATTCCGAAGCGCCATAGTCTACGAGCCCCTCAGGGCTGGAGAACCGACCGAGAGCGCCCAGAGTGCCAGAGATTTCTGTTCTGTGCAACAGAAACTGCACGAAGAGAAGCGGATCGCTTTATTGAGGAACAGGTATGTGAAGGAGCATCACAAGCGCCGCAGCCTGACGTAGACGCCTTCACTACTGGCACAGAGCGTCAGCGGTAGTCGAGCCTGTTGTGCCCGGAGGCACGTTCACGACCGGGCCTCTGAAATGAGCTCCTTCGACTGCGGCTCTCTTGGCCTATGCGTCTTCTTACTACTTTTACGATCGGGTTGAGCTCAGATACGGAGATGAGATTCGCGCTGTGCGGCGTACTGACCGCGGAAGTGCATGCTGGGAGCGCCGTACAGGTGTGTGATCATTCGATACCGAGCGCTGCAATCATTCGTTGATTGTATCATGGCAGGGCTGGGGACGGGATAAGGCAAGCCCCGCGTAGTGGGAATGAAGGTTCACTTGGACGCTATCGTAACACGAGTTTGGGACCCATCCCGTTCCCGGATGCGGTGAACTCGACGAACGGGATAATTTGCGCCTAGGTCTGAAGAGTCGATGCCAATACCATGACACGATATGTTATATGCGAAACCTCGGTATCTCGTCGTATTGTAAGTACCGATAGTGTACGTCCAATCAAGGCGCCAAGCTGTCTGGCATGTCTCTAGTAAAGAGGAAGTGTTTATCAACCGGGGTAGTCTCTCTAACCCTTCAAGCTGGTAAGAAGGCTGTGGGGAGGAAGCCCTGTGAGCAAAGGCCATAGCGATACGTATCCCGTGCATAGGTACATTCCGACTTGCACTATATCTTTGACAGCATACACCCTGCTGCAGCTACAATAGAGAGCGGAGGGGGTGAGTGAGTGCCATGGTATCTATTTAGATGCTCAAGAGGAACAGAGTCTTGCTACCGATATATTGCTAATGCCGACATCGTCACATACCCATACCGTCAAAGCCGGATCTGTCCAAGTTTAGTCCTCACAGAAGTCAACATTGAATTGTTTGTTCTCGAGCAAGATAATCGGCCACATTAGCGCACTAGTCCTCGACCATCGTAGTTATGTCAACGGGAAGGGCTGCGATTCGTTCTCGCATGGCCGACTCCTTCGCTCGCGCTTCGATACGACACCAAACCTGGCACATGTCGCGATGAGAAGCATCCCAATGTCTTCAGCGAGAGTCAATACAGGTGTGCATGAAGCAAGGGGACGACGTACACGGATTGACAGGTCGCGCTGCAGTACACAGCCCGACGACATCTACGGCAAGATCGAGGAGTTGCCTCATCAGGTATCTTGTGTTGACACTCCATGCAGCGTCTCTTAAGCGGACGCCATATGACGTGTGCCCGGTGAAGAGCGAAAAGTTGCTCTGGCGACAGGTTGTTGACTGTAGATGAGGAGATGGCTCTGCGCTCGACCAAAGAAGTGAGCCACTCCGTCTGTATACGACGTCCGTCGAGAGGGGGAACGATGCGCTCTGCAACAGTGAGGAGTACGATGGGCCGAATGTTCATAGAGAGAGGCCGCCGAGGGTTCATAATCTCGTAGAGGAGTCCAAGCCACGCAGTGAACTGGCGACGGCGAAAGGCACGGAAGAACTCGCTCTCTGTCTGGCCGCTGTGTCTGCGTAATGATGAGATCACGATGATCAGTATTGGGAAGAACTCACAGGCGATGCAGTGTGATTGCAGTAAGCTGACGCGTCGTAAACTGAGGAATGTAAGGGTACAGCGCGTAGAAACGGTGTGTCCCGCGCCATCCAAAGAGGATGTTAGCGACTCGGTTCATCGGCCGCATATATACCGCAAAATCCTGGGCGCGCTCGACTGGATGAGCAAGAATGTGGTTAACGAGAAAGTTTGCCATTGTGCGACTAGAGTATAACTCGTAGACCAAAGACATCGTGCGGAGCAGGACAGGTGCCTCCTGAACACTATCAATTAGCGTCTGCTACGAGAAGCGAGGTTGAGAAGAACATACGTCAGCCACGTTGACCAGATCCGATGATATAGTCCAGAGAGCGTCCTGAACTATGTTGTGATGGTCGTGGGCAGATAGATAATGGTCAATCGGAGGGAGAAGGTCGAGGTCGAGGTCGAGGTGAGGCTGAGACGGCAGGTTGGCATCTCGCATCTCGCGCAAGAGATCAAGAATGGGCTCCCATGACTTGCCCTGACGCATCTGAATGGTTTCAAGCGTGGCAATTGCGACAGGAAGAAAGTTGACGTCGCTGTCGTGAGGCGCCATGTTCAGGGTAAGGAGGTAATTGCTCGCGGCGAGGGGTTAAGTAGTAGAGTGCTGGCGAGCCACGTATGATGGAAGATGCACGCCGTGAGATGGCATTTTTCGCCTCAGGTTCGAGATGCCGCCTATTGAAGTAGATTTACCAGGCCAATTGAATTACAAGCTGTGAGCTTAGTCCATGACCGACGGAGCGAGCAGGTGCAAAGTCAGTTCTAGGGCGCTTGCGCCACGTCACGATTTCGCGTGGTTGTGACGGTTCGCGTCGACCCTGCACCATGAGGATCATCGGGCGTCCGAGCGCCGGAGTTGTTTTTCCTCCATCACTACGTTCGCTTGCTCATACTGTTCTCTCCCATGAGATACGCCATACGCCTCGGCGGAAGGTCGCGCGCAACGGCTAGATATAGGCAGCACACCTGCGGGGTCAGATGCGCCGGTAGCCTTTCCCTTTTCGGTGGCTGCCTGGTGGCCCTGGGGAAGTGCCCACCTGATACATGCATTGTGTGATGAACCTTTGGAATACCATCTGTCTCCGTAAGATCCGCATTCGGGTTTCCCCGGCTTCCCCACAGGTCTTTTGGAGACTGAGCGATGAAACGCTTGTTCGCGACCTATCTACAACACCGGAGGTGGTGCGTTTTACCCCCGGATAGTATGTGTCTCTGCGTGTACCTGAACCCTTAGCTGACGCGAGCCTGTAGCCCTATCAGTGAGATCCCCAGAGCCTGACTTCTTCGTATGCGTCCACCGAACAGTTATTAAGAGAAGGCAGATGTATGGACCATGGGCTTGTGCTCATTCCGTGTCCTGAGATACCCTTCCCTCTACTCCGCGAGATTATCGCCACTTTATGATGGAGATTCATGATGTTTTCTCCGACGTAGAAGACAGCCGATCTACTGGTATGGTACTCAAGCGAGCGAGAACGTGCAGTACTAACTTCCGGGCGTCCTGTAGCTATGGCACCTGATGATATGGAGAGCTGGGCCGTGATGGCGAGTAAAGTTGCTCGTAGGTACTCCTAGTACTCACCTCGCTTTGGTTTAGACCGACGTAGCCCTTCGTCATATCGCGAAAGTCCCGGCCTTCTTCAGGGTTCAGCAGGAAATCGATAGCGCAGAGCTCAAGTGGCCGGAGGACCTGCGCCGGTTCGATACTGGCGTTGAGGGGCCCGCTCCTGTATACCGCGTTGTACTTATCAACGAAGACTCGCACCTACCAGTGCATCATCGCCACCCAACGACTGCTCCCTATATCTTGCAAGCCATCAAGGACCTTTACCCGGCCCTCTGTGGACGACCTTCGCGAACATATACACCTTATGCGCGCATATGGAGATGTCCTCAGGAAGGGTGTTCGTATCTCGAGGACCTTGCCCGTCTATCATTCGTAGCCGGGGAAGCCGTGTGCCGCGTAGCGGCCACTGCCATCGACTCGAACTTTCTTGCTGGCGAGGTGGCATCCGACTTCGTATCACTTGTCGACGGGAGATATCGTGTGCGTCGAGAGTTCATCAAGAATACCGTCGACATAATTGGTCTGCGCCATTACGAGTCTCATCTACGCGAAGCTGGCCTGCATTGTTCTATACGCGGGCAAAACCCAGCTGGCCATGTACGTCATTGAGTCATCTGCCGCCTCGTTTATCTCTCACCATCCTTCCTCTGTGTAGATCTCGTTCATGTGGGAGCATCAGAATCATGACGAAGTCCTTCGATCGAGGTCCATAGAGGGTGTGCGAGCGCGACTATTCGAAGAAAGAGCGCGGCAGTCGTTACAACTCGCGTTATCTGTACAGGCTCGCCGATGGGCTCACGAAGCTCGTTTCTGGGAGCAAGGGGGGTGGGTATCGGAGCGCCAAAGCGCTCGCCGCACGCAACATGACTTTGTTAAGCGGCTCGACTTCCCTGAAGAGCTTACCGGAGCTGGCCGACGCTTCAGTGAGCTCCGAGCATTGGATCCGCATCAGTCTTCAGTCATCCTGGCTATGGGACGTAGCCTACACGCCGAGGTCTATAACGCACTTGTGGAGCGTGATACTTTGCACCGTAGAAGCACGGTCCGACTGGCGCTTGCGGAGGAAGTGATTCAGGATTGGGAGCACGGCGACGGGTGGCGTCGGACTTTGGACCAAGCACTGGTCGCTGTAGAGCTGCACGCCGATGTTGCGGCACCATGATTGAGGGAAGGATGTGCTATGAAGTACTATGGACTATTTGTCTTATCAAGTGTAGCTATGAGAGGGCCTCTCCTATACATCGGTAACGAGCGTCGCACACGAGTGGAAGGAGCTTGAAGCTTGAGCTTTGCACCAGATGCATACGGTAGTGACGGCTGGGATATTATCTTTCAGGCAGCACTTTGGCATCTTGTTTTGTGGGTGAGACGTGAGCGACTGATCCAACGTATAGAGCTCAGGTGGAACGGACGACAACTCGATTGGATCGTCGAACAATCTCGAAAGCCCGCCGTATCGTTTATTTCGTACGTGATTTTGATGCTTACGGGAAGCTCAGTTCCGTAGCTCTTCCAAGAGCTATTGAATAGCGGTCTTGATTGCACAAATGACCTAGCTAGGGCGGTAATGGCGAATACACGATAGTGTCCAAGTGAGATCAGAACTCGGGCGCGCTCTCTCCCCGAACCACCGGTTGTCTGGGAAGTGCACAAGCGCTTCATGGATCATGATCACTCACGGTATGTCATTGTGCCGTAGCTTGTTTCATATTTCTAGAATCGAGCAACGCCACAGCGTTGGCAAGTGCCCACGATCATCAGATAGAGTCCGACGTCACTTATGGGCCGCCGGGCATGACTACTCAGATACCAGAATTGGATTTCCATTCTACAGATCTAGTCCTTAAAGCCCACATGTGTATCAGTACTCACGTAAACTCATCGCCCATGTCTCCCTCCAAAGGCGTCCTCCGTGCCAATGTCATCAAATCGATCGAAGACGACCACCGACGAGAACTCAAGGCTGCATCAGGGCCTATCGACGAAGACTTTGTGGCTTACCGGCGTAACCGCTGCCGACGCCTGGGACACATTCTCCGCAGAGACATCCAATGCTTCACTGGCACGCCTGATGACGGGCGTTGGTTCGTTGAAGTGTGTCTATCGCATGCGGACGATGACTGTTACTGACACATGGGCATGGGCAGTGCACCCTCCCACACCCGGACGAGGTTCTTGAAAATGGCGTGGTACACATATACGTCTCTCGTCGGCTCGAGGTAAACGTCCTGCAGGAACTGCGCGATTCGATGCTAGCGCGCCAGTTGCAGGCTCAGCAGTTCTTGCCTGAGCCTGAGCCTAGTTCGTCAAGGGTGCGGTGTTGGCATTGATAGACACGCCTAGACAAAGAGGAGCTTATGCATTCGTAGGGAAGAAGACATACCTCCGGATATGTGGCCCAATCAACGCCTACACGCACTTCACGTCGATCTGTGAGGCCGTATAATGCTCGTCCCTCGCCGTCGCACGGCACATTCGCGGCTCTGTTAGATACAACTCCCGGTCAGTCGGCCAGCCGGTCGCCTAAAGGCAAAAGCGTTCCACGAACTCCAACTCGTGCCCACCATCCGAGTTATCCCTACGCGAACTCGCTCATCACGCATCCTGGCACTTCATCTTCGCCTCAAGCGGCCCCTCCATGCATCGATATCACAGACTCGGAATCAGAAGGGACCACCCAAGACACGACGCTACTCGGTCAGTCTAGGAGTCCCAGCATAGAGCTACTGCCGACGTCCGCTTCCTCAAAGTTGACCGTGTGGTTCTTCACAAAGGTAAGTTCGTGCGAGCTTTAACGCCCACGACAATCGCCAGTGCTCATGCTGTTGTGGAACCTTTAGCCCAATAAAGAGCCCGCAGTCATTCAGCTTGACATCATGCCTGGTAGAAGAGACGTGGCATTCCAAGATTACGACCGTGAATGGGAGAGTCAAGGAGTCAAGCTCGCGGACCGCGTCAAAGTCTTGGCGTCATCATCTCGGGGCGAACATCTGTGGCAGACAGGCCGACTGTGTGATATACGATTGCCATTAGAAAGGCGAACCGTCGTACTCTCGGTGATCGACCTGGACGATCATCACTCGCAACTGGATGCACTTGTCAAACATGCATGCACGGGCAGCTGTGCGGCTTCTTCCCTCCGCATACTATCACTGCATCATTGACATCCCTTACAGTTACGCGTGGCCAACGATAGCCGACTTGCTGGAACAAAACACGGCATGGTCAATGGTTATAACTTCAGACATCCTGCTGCCCAGGCAGCGGCCGTTTAATAGGCATGTAGGCGGCACAAACAATAGATAAGATAGCAAATGTACTACAGGCATAGGGACATGTAGCAACGACATAGCAAAACAAGACCATAGTATATATGAACTACTCATGAGATGGGGTGATACCGGCCTGCTCAAGCTCGTCGAGGATGGAGTCTGGAAGAACGTGATGACCGCGGTAGCGCCGAGCAGCCTGCCGGCCATCCAACCCGCGGATGTATGCGTCAGCAAACCGCAACGCTCAAGTGGCGAATCTAGGCCCGGCAAGGCATCAGCATGCAGACTCGACAAAGGAAGGGCATGAACAAAGACTTACCGACGGATGTTCAGCAGTGTGATTCCAGCCAATGCGCGTGTGGCGTTCTGCTCGAGCACGTCCTCGCAGGCTGATGCTGGGAAGTCATGGTAGATGGCCTTCGCACGACCCCAGCACTGCTCGATCAGGTTCAACTCGCAGTGGAACTTGGGCAGGAAGATGACGCGGAAGCCGCGAGCGGCGCATTCTTCCTCCAGGATCGACAGGACAGTTGCAAAGTCCGGCTCGTTCAAGAGCAGGCGGCGGCAGCAGCACGGGTTGGCGCGTTCGAATTTCGGTGAGCACTTGAAGCTGTGGCACTCGGCGCGAAGGGCATGAAGCATGTCGCGTTCGTAGCCGCGCTCGGCGAGGATCTCGAGCATGCCCTTGAAAACGCCAGCCCGAGGATGACCGAGCGGATAATACAACGGCTGCGGCAGCCCGTTTGCGAAGCGAGCGTCGCCCATACGGATGCGAGTGCGTTGGATCTTGCCCCTGGTGTTGTAGGCAGGCTGACCAATGGCATCGAGAAGTGGTATATCCACCCCGAACATGCGGTTGTTCGGAGCGGTCGGGTACTTGGGCATCTTGCGGGCCGAGAGAGCATCGTCGCGGCGTTTACGATGGATAGTTGTATTGTCGTAGATGAGGACGTGGTCGTGGCCGAGGATACGAGACGAAATGATGTCCATGGCAGCATGAGCCTGAAAGTTTGTCAGTGAAAGTTTGATTCAGTATACGAGATGAGGCAAGTACCTGACGCAGGATGTCGCTTGAGGTAAAGTAGCCGTCGCTGTTCTTGCCAACACGAAGGGTCACCCGTGCAGAGGCACCGGCGCTTCGCCCGTGTCGTGAAGACCTTCATACGAAAAAGCGAGTCCGTCTACGTATATAGACGCAAGTCAGCTACATAAGCTTATGAAGGCGAAAGAGCCGAGCACTCACCAAGGAAATACATCCATAGTGCGCGCATCCAGGTTCAAATGCGCAGGAGATAGACCCAGAGTCGCCAGCTTAGATAAAAACACGAGGGCGAAAGCGTAGACTGAAAGACGAGTCGGCAACCGAACGAGTTTGTCTAATAGCGGAGACCACCTCCGGATCTGGAAGCTCCTAGCGACTCCACGATACTCGCGCACGCAAAGCTAGGCTACCCGGGACGGCCGAATGGCCGCCCAGGTAAGCAAGGCCTCTTGTGCGCTGTGGAGGCGTCGTGGTGGTGGTCAAGTGGAGGGTAGTTCTGATCCGTAAGCTTCTCTTGCGCGCAGAGGGGCTCCCACGGCCGCCGTCCACGTGTGTTCGTAAAGTACTGCTCAAAGCGCTTATGTCTGGGCATCGGTCGCGTATAATCGTGCTTGCAGTAATCTCCATCCTAATGAATTGTCACCGGAACTTGACCGGCACACTACTAGCAACAATCCTAATAAGACTTGACGCTAGAACGATATACTTAGGGGTTATCCTCACGATAACTCGAGGACGCTGCCCTGCGGCGCTTTCGTTTGAGAAGAGAGGGATATGTCCGCACTCAGAAACGGGCGAGGTGCTCGCCTTCGCCCTCGGTAGACATGACACTACAAGTATATGACATTGTGATGGGTCATTGCTGAGAATGAGCTACAAGCTTGAGACACAGACAAGACAGACGAGTACGTAGATGAACATCTCACGCGTGAGATGGAGGCGGGCGGCCGTGCCTTCACCTGCTATTTGAGGTAAAGAGGCGATACGTTCCCCGTTCGCCCACTCGGAAGAAGCTTCGTCTCCTCATCGTCGGGACGATCTTCGCTTTGGTGGAAAGGCAACCCATATGCGGACGAGGGGCTAGGAACAGGTCGTTCATGTGAGGGGCCATCTGAAAGGCGACCTGACGTGCGGCTTTCAGCAATCGATGGGGCGCGTCCTTCTGGCTTCTTGACGATGGTCTCAAGATCGTGCAAGGCTCGGAGCGCGCATGATGCAACATTCGAGGCATCGGGTCCTGCCGATGGCGCCGCGGCCTTCCACAGCTCGTCTCGGACGTCAATGTAGTCCTGCGCCATATCGCTCCTTTCGTTGCGGCTTGGAAGGGCCCGACGCCAATCCCACATACCTGGGCTACCTGTGGGTACGTAGGTCTCGTCGGGCTTTTGCCATGCGCCCGGACTCCAGCCACAACTGTCCACAGCCATCAAGAGCGATAACGCGTTGCGGGAGGCCAACTCAAGGCGGGGATCCACCCACAGGTTCCCGAAGAGATCGTCCAGGTTCTCGTGATCGCCCGAGGACACCTTGCACATCCTAAGGCCATCAACGGCGCTCAAACTTGTGAGCAGAGATCGAATGTTGTTCCAGGCCGTGAAGCCCGGATGCTCTGGCTCATACGGGCGTCCTTGTATGTTACCCAGGGAGAAGATGAGCGTCCAACGCAGGCTGGCAACCGCAGCATGCAGGGTGCTATCTTGTTGGCGCAGAGCTTGAGCGCACTGTCGGCCGACCCGCTGGGCAAAGGCAGGGAACGTCTCGAGGATGGGCGCCATGTGTCTCCACCGTGCGTCCTGGTTACTGCGCGCCTGTGTAAGCAGGTCCGCGGGGTTATCGGCCGATAGCAACATCTGCAGGAGCCGAACAGAGCCCTCAGCGGCGTAGACAGTGTCTACGTCGCGAAAAGCGACGACGAGATTCTCCATGGCAGCTCTAGTGTTTCGTAAATTGACAAGGATATCTGACACCCCATCACGATTGATATCGAGTTTTGCGCGGGCGAGGTACCTCATGGCCTCCGGGCTCCGTACGAGGTGCGCCTTGACGCGCGTTGCCAGGTACTTCAATTGGCGTCCGGAGAGGGTCTTCCGACTCGAAGGTGGAGCGAACTTGCGTGCCGAGATCTGGTCGAGCTCCGCGCTCGATTTCCTAGACAAAACGGCCACCATGAGAGGCCCTGCGATTCGAGCGGATAGTATCGGTGCCTTCAAGTATCGAAGAAAAGGCCGAGGACTGGCATCACTTAGGACGATAGCGCCGTTCCTCACCCAGCTGCCCAATGCAGCAATGAGATTCGCCACACTCAAGACGATGAATGCAACGACTGAGGTACCGCCGTAGATGAGGCTGTGAAATATAAAGCTTAGCGGGGTGTAGTAAGGGCACTGAGGGTCGATCAGGGGGATCAAACTCGCGAGAACATAGGCAAATAAAGCCAGGCCAGAGATCGCCGAAGCCATGGCTCCAGTAAACGTCTGAGAGGGTTGAAGAGTAAGACATAAGCCAAGTAAGAAGAGCATGACGGCAAGATGCATCAAGCCGAAGATGAACGTAGCGCTGCGGTCCACGCCGTAATGTTCGAGCGCTTCGTAAATGTGCAGCCGGCGCAGGCTATAACGTTCGATGGTTTCAATGGATGGGCGAGCTTGGCTGCGAATAGCATCGCTCTGCCAGTCGAGCACCATCATGACCAACAGCGCCGAGATCAGGGCGAGCTCTAGAGCTGAAGCAAATAAAGTATTAATTATATTATCCATTTTTCGAACGGTGAACGGAGGAGATATGTCGACAAGACCCTGAGGGGTAATATTTTGCGCGAGAAGGAGCTGGGAGAGGAGTGTGTTGGTAATGTTGACGCCTTGCGCCAAGCTTGAATTGTCGGGCGGCGAGAGCTGCTTATAGCTGTCCACAAGAAATGTGGCCACGACGGCCCCGAAGAGGCCAGCCTACGTGCTGGTGTCAGTATCTGAAGAGCTGTAGCCGCTTAGCACGCACAAATGTCTGCGTGCTCGTGGACGTGAGCATGGCAGCGCTCAAGAGCTGATCCCGCTCGATGGTCAGAGTGCCAAGGACAGTCGACCAGAGGGTGTCACCCTCTTCGGCGTCAGGGGGAGACGCATCGAACGACTCTTTACTGTGGGACATGACGGTTACAGGTCAGGAGAGAAGATGTGAGAGAGCATATAAGTACGCACCATTGCTTCCGATTAGATCTTCTCCAAAGCTTACCCTACTAGGTTTCATACTACCGGCTTCCGAGGAGACGAATTCTGCACAGTCTGATCAGAAGGAGTTCTCCAAGAGCACATAGGAGTCATGGGACGACTATCCAACACGAGATCGGAGGACGATAACGAGAAGCGAAGAAGCGTGATAGGGTGAGAGGCAGGAGATGTGCGCTGTTGAGAAAGCAAGGGCATAAGTAAGTTTGAAAGGTAGCGGATTCGAGAGTCAGAGAGTGCGGAGGCGTACCTCAGATTTCTCGCCAAGCGTAGCGTGCCGGGGCGCTCTCTTCGACCTGAGCGCGTCGGTCGGTGGCCAGTTGGGAAGCCGATTTTGGGTGCGGGCGCTAGAGCGCGGGGG